TAAACAGTAAATGATGCCAGTTTGCCCTCATGTGGCAGGATCATGTATATTCATGAATGCAGCTATTTTGTCTGGGTAATGCTACACATCTAGTTGTACGTTCTTGAGTGTAATAGTGCTTCCAGACAAAGTCTTTTCAGATTCATTCATGAGATCTTACAAGGGTATAAGATGATGGCCGCCTTCTATTTATAACTCCTCTTATTGTTTTTCTATTGATGCTTCCATCATTTTCTTTTAAAAAATAGTTTCACAGTGTCTTGTTTGGTAATAGTAACAGGAGCCCTTTGGAAATACTGCAATTGATGACTTTCTTCCAACTAAATGTGCATGAAATCAGACTTCAGGGGGAGCTCTAGGCCAACATTTCTGCTGGTATTCCATTTCCCATTCTATCTTACTTTAATTAAATGCTATTTCTCATAGAATGTCCCATGGTAATATTCAGTGCTTTGCTAAACAAATACAACTGGAACATATATTCCTTGATAGCCATCCTTTCATCCCCACATCCAAAGATTAAAAAAAACCCAAAAAACTATCTTGCAGCCATGAATTGATCAAGAATTTACATGAACCACTTGTCTTCCATAAAAGATCCCAAGGCAATATGGAGAACTGATAAAAGGAGAAATAAACAGTAGAGTTCTAATCTGTTCATCATCTAAAAGTACAAAAGAAGTGAAATAAAAGCTGTTCTACAAGCAAATCAGTATTGCTGGATCATCAAAGAGCACCACAAACTTCTACTCCTGCAGAAGCCATATAAATCCTTGGGTTGATTGCAAGTATTGCCTCAAAATCTAATCTAGAGCTGGAAGAGGCAATTTCTCTATATTGCCTCCAGTGTGACAATGTCCAAAATACAAATATGTGACACAGTAATATACTTTTATTCTCAGTCCTTCTAACTGGGTATAATAGTCTTAGAAAGAGAAGACTCAAACATTCCCTATCTCAAGGACTTTCTCCCAGATGGTGGAAGAATCTTCACTTGAAATAAATGCACCCATGCATTCTTCATATCTCAGCTGCAAGGAGGCTGATCTAACACACACAGAGACACACACTTTCTTGCTAATCAATCCTTCATGAGCCTTGGTCAGCTCTTCAGGGTAGACCAGATTAGGAAACCAAAGTCATGCAGGCTAATATTACTTTGACTATACAGCTATTATAACAAGCTATTATAATCTTGCAAGTTTGGATGTGCTTCCCCCTTCCCTCCCTTTAACTTCATGAGAACTAGGGAGGGTCTTGTCTGAGACGCTTTCTCGGGTTACACTTTTGGTCCAGACTCAGATTTCTTTTATCTGACCATTGCCTTGGTAGCAGCTCTTCCTCCTGTTCCTCAAGGTTATTCCTTCTTCCCATTACAGCTTTAGGTTGGATAAGCATGTAAAATTTCTCCACAAATAGCTCCTCTTTAACATGGAAGGCAGCATCTATCTCACAGTTGCCACATGCATGAGTACTGAAAGCTTGGATGTATGAAGTGTGTGTGTGATGTTAGGGGGAAGATGTAGCTTGAAACTGCCCCTTGGCTTCCTTCTTGTGGATGCCTTTAATGTACAAGGGCAAGATTTTCAATATCCTTCTTCTCTTCTGAGGGTGTGGTGGGAAAAAAATGATTTCATCTATGGCCTGGATGAGAAATTTGCTGAAAAGCCTATAACTATGATGAACACTGCTAAAAACACAGTGTTCATATTTTATTTCTGATAATCCATGAACTTTATTTCAGGAAGCTTTGTACCGATGAAAGGAATAGCTAGAACTTGAACTATTTTTTCTTCACTAGAAGGGCATTACAGTAAGAACGGAAATAAACCTTGAGTTTTAGTTTCATTTTGTTTTAGCTTCTGTTTTTTTTCCCCCCATGTGCTATGGAATGCAAATATTATGTTGAAGGGATGTTTAAGACTCTCATTTATAACATGTATTTAAAGTATGATTGAGGGATTCCAGAATGGCACACACGGATAATCTAAAGGAAATATTGCTAATTTGTAAACAGATTAGTGAGCGATGACAGAGCTCTATTAAATATGTCCATATTGTTTCTCATTGGGCTAGGATGGGAGTTGAGCTGTGAGGATGATTGGTCTGGCTCCTGGGGGGAAGGGTACTTTTGTTTTTAACTATGTTTTTTATGAATGGTTGTGAGCCATGTAGAGTCATTTTGGGTGGCCATATAAGTCCTGTAAAAAAATAAATACCTTCAGAGACATATTCACTGCTTACCTCCTCAGACTCAAAACTTGCATGGGTTCTTGAATTTATGGAATATCAGAGCATGGTTCAATTATGCCTTGCTCTAAGCCACAGAGGCACAAGCCACGGCCTGCAACTTCTTACAACATCTTGGTCTCATCTGCTTTTAGGGCTGTGATTCACTTCTTCCGCACCCACCTTGGTTATCTCCAAACCACTTTTGGTTTGCTTGATTTGGCTAAGCCAGTGTATTTTGTAAATTATATATTCGCGTGATGAATGAACTCTGCTATTATTTGCCTTATTTAATAAATCACAGCTGAGTATGATAAGCTTATACCAGGGCAACCACAACTGTGTTGCAAAACTGTACCCTACTGTTTGAGGGAGACAAGGTGATAAAGACCCATCTAACTCTTTGTGGTCACCTAGAAGTTCATCTAGAGTTTTGCAGCCCAGATCAGGTAGCTGTAGCTCACATATTACAATAAGTTAGGATTTTTAAAAAACATACCCTGTTACATCAATTGCGACAGTCTGGGTTGCACATAATGCTATCAAGGGTGAATCTGCATATTTTGATAAATCAAAAGCAAACAAAGGACGTACATTTTAGTGTTGTGTGCGAATCAGTCTAATGATTATGCTGGTATTACAGACAAAAGCAGGTAAATACGTATTACTCTCTGCAAGTTAGACTATCTTTTCTTTGTCGTAGGTGTACGCAGCCACATCTGGACATATTTCCATGTTGTCTGTCCACCTGCCCAGCCACTCACTTGCTTGCTTAACATTATAAATACTTACATGTTGGTAAGGTTATGCTAGACTCAGTGATACTTACATCCATGTAGGCCCGTATGGCGGGATTTCTCAACCTCAGCAACTTTAAGAGGGGTGGACTTCAACTCCCAGAATTCCCCAGCCAGCATG